CAGTAAAAGGGAGAAGGTAGATGCTTCCAGGGCGGCAGCCTCCAGATTTGATCCATCTTTCTTCATGAATCAGAGGTCTTTGTTGTGCTTCTGTACACGTACTGCATTGAAAGCTTTTTCTTCCTTTCTGTAATACTTACACTCTTTAAAAAGATAATTGAAGAGTTGTCATTGAACCAAGTCACCAAGACAACAAGAGTTGTCATTTTCACATATATTTATGTTTCGTATTTCTGGTGCTGTAGAAGGCAAACAAAGCTAGAAAGGAATAGTTAGTTTCTGCATCTTCGATTTCTTTCTCCTGTGGAGTTGTCTACTTTGGTTTAGTTAGATAGCTGAACTGTTATGAAATAAGCCTATGGATTTTATGAAATAACTTTTTAGATTTGTCTGCACATCCTGTATATTTATGCTTTTGGACTAGTTCTGTGTCCTAGCTTGTATTTATAACCTCCTTAAAGATCTAATATAATAGTTACTTTCTTCCATGTACTGTGTATTTCCTTTTCTGGCTAATGGAGTACTAGTTCCAGTACTGCATCACTAGATTTTTTTTTAATTATTATTGTTATTTTCAGTCTAAGTTTTTCATAGTTTTCTTTCTATTCTGCTATTTTGTTATGAAAAAAAGTTACAGTAGAGATGTGAGTTGACAGATTTTTTTTCCTTACTGTCCTTATACCAGAGGAAAACAAATGCTTTCCTTTACCTTCCATGTTCCTTCCTGCTTCTTGTTACGATTTTTTCTTAACAGAACCTTAGTTCCATATTGTTTACATTTATCTTCTCTATTTTTCCTGTTCCATGCCAAGAACCAGTGCAATATGGCAACTAATAGCTCTGTCTGTGAAATGCATTATTGGCTAAAATACATATATGGAGAGAGAAAGCTTTGATGTATTCAGTTAAACATTTGTTAGGCACAAAATTACTGTTCAAAGTGTGAGTCCAAACATTTTTCCTTTTTCATGTGCATTTAATTATGATGACCTGGCAAACATGGGTCACATCCATCAGTCTAGACAGACTTTTAAAAAATAAAAATTGTCTTTAGACACATGTTACTTTATATGCCTGTCATACTTGAGATGCAATATTGGTGAAGAACATCTGTGTTACAGCTGGTGCCTAAACTTGCAGAGCAGGAAACTGTTCCAGAAAAGCTAGCATAGTAAAGATCCATTCATTTTTTTGATAGAGCGTTAATTTCATAGCTACTTAAAGCCAAACTAGGCTTCTGCTTTGTTTACACACATGCTGATTATATTTTCCTTCTTGCAGTCACTGCAGTACCTCACTAAGGCACATAAATGTGAAATTCAATCCAGCGATTGGGAGAAAGATGTTTCATCTTTTAAGGAAGTGGTGAAAGGAGCCATAGAGATTGCACATGGTATGTTCTGCCTGAAAATAACTTATCCATGAAGAGTGTAGAGAATGTTTAATAAGCTTAGTAACAAAATAACCTTATATCTTACCCGTTATATTTATTCCTACTAATTAATGGAAGTCCTCTAACATAAAGCACGGTCCTAAGAGTGCATATGAGAATATACTTGGGCTGAGGCAGAACTCGTGTTCTGTGAGTCAGCAAACTTTGTGAAAGGTAAGCATGCTAAGCGTAAGATTGATTCCGTGTTTACCAAGGCATTTAATGGTCCAGGAGTTTTACAGTGTTTTAAAAAAAAAAAGAAAAAAAAAAGAGGACAAGTAGTTCATTTCAGTCTTCAAATAGTCACATAACAATTTTGATTGACCATCCCTTTCCAACACCTTCAGTGTAGTAGGTAGGAGATCGACAGGCCTTAGACTCGGTATGAGTAATGACTCTGCAAGAAGGATACCTTTAGTCATACGGTATGACTTAAGTCATTTTAGAGTGGTCTTCTCAAAATTACCTACTCCAAATTAACTTTTCATGAGTTTCTTTTTTGGAATAGTGCATTCAAAGGTTACATATGGAAGGTATCTAGAATTTTATTTAAATGTTCTTTAAAAGATTATTGTGACAGAAGGTAATGCTTTTCTGTTTTGGTGTCCTTTTCTTCTGTATTTGGATTCTAGTGGCTATAAAGTGCAGTAAAAACAAGTCTAATCATCAGGAAGCTTTGCAGATACTTTCTTCAGCTCGGCTGAACTTACGTGGCTTGTCATCCAAAGCAAAGGTAGGAATGTTTGAAAGAAATATCTTTATTTTTTTACCAGAACCCATGGCTTTAAGTCATTTATAAATCAAATAATATTTACCTGTCCTATTGCATCATCAGGAAGATTTTCATCTCCACTATTAAAGATTCCAGTTTTAGGTAGACTTTTGTTTTCCTTATTCCTCCTAGGCTTTGACCAAACTAAAACTACTAGCCTACGATTTCAATGCTAATTCTTAGTTTAAGTTAGAATTTTACTTAGTGTAGGGCAAACAGACTCAAATGTTTAGAAGAAATCAGTCATTTCAAAGAACTTTTCCTTGTGTGAGTAATCATGAGGGGAGCAGGGGCAGTCTGAGGAGGAATGGATGTAAGCTTACAGAAAGGACAAAATCTTTTAGGACTACTTTGCATCTCTTAAAAGTGTTTTATAAATGGAGTTACTTATTAAAGCAGAGAACTCAACATTTTCATGGAATTATGCTATGTTTAGTTTTTAGAGTTCTAATTTGTGTATCCATAGCGAGGCACCTAAACAGCCCAAATCTGTTCCTGCACCATTATTGTCTTGATTTTGCCCTCCACCTTACAACGTGAGAAACGGCCATTGTTTAACTGAGGACTGATTTGGAATACATTTTTGTTCAAAATACACTTACTGTCTTTAAGAAGGATTCTTCCAGGGCTGTGTGTGGGGTTTAGCAAATGTGAATTACACAGCATAAGTTTTATAACATGTGTGCTTGTGTTACAAAGTGTTGATCCATCATCAGTGTGCTAAACTTGGCTCGCTTTCTTTAAGTCCTGTAATTTTTAGGATAAGGGCCTAGGAAAGTTGTTGAAGCAGATACAAGCTGACTCCATAACTAATTGTGCTTGTTGGATATTGACATAGTCTATAACTCTTAGAACTCTTAGAAATAACTCTTAGAAATACTGGGGAAAAAATCGCAACTTGTGCGTTCTGTTGGGATTCACAAAGTGGTTTAAAAAAATAGTCTGTTGACTGAGTAGACGGTAGACAGTAGAGAAGGTAAGACTACTTGGCATATATGTTATAAACAAGTACAGGTGGTTTAAATTATACTAGATAGCACAGTCACTGAAATACTAAGAATAAGTGAGTCTAATAAAATGTATTCTTCACTCCTAAAGGCATTAATTAAATGAACTTATTTTTGGCAGATACTGGTGTGTCTAACTTTTATGGCAGTTCTGAGAAAAGTGGCATGTTAGAGATAAAGGTATTGGAATGACTCAGTTATTTTTTCATAGTTCCAATATGCCATCTTATTTTTAAATTAAATCCCACTGAATTTCCAGAGTGTGTGCCTTTGGTTTAAAAACCTCAGTCATCTCCTGTAAGATATTATGTACAAACAACTTAGCACTATTTATGTCTGTTCAAACTTGACTCCATTATCTCCAATTACTGCCTAATGAGACAATATTAGTGGGTGTTTTTTCTTTTTTCTTTTAACAAAAATAAAAGCGCTTAAAAAAAAAAAAGGTGTCAAGAGCAGACTCCATAGTTAAGATTTCAGAAGGAATAAAGGAACAGTGAAAGTAACTTTCAAAAGATAAAGTGCCAAAAACTTCCTAGTCAGGACATGCAGTAGGAATACATTGGTAGTTTTTGTACAAGTGAAACAGTGTTGCTCTCTGGGCTTTACTGTGATCTCTGTCTGTGACTTTCCAATCCGTGGGTCATGCCAAACTCATGATGCAGCCAGACCCTGCCTAAGACTGCATCTAGAAAATGTATTGTTAATGGGCTGCTTTATGCACAGAGTCTTCTGGGCAGTCGCGTGCTCTGCCAAATAGCATAGTGGGCTCTCTTCTGCTTCTTGACCCTGCGTGTCATTCAGATCTGACAGGTGGGCTCTCTGAACAGGAGACGGATCCTGAAGCTGGGTCATAAATGCATGAAATGTGGGTACTATGGTGGGAAAACATAAGGCAGAAGCCCAAAGAATAATGGTACATGAAACTTTCCCAGTCTGCATCTAGTTGAAAAGATCTCTTTAACTGTGTGGGAGGGGGGGGAAAAAAAAGAGCAAATAATTAGATCATCCTAATTTATTTAGCTGTCTTAGCCAGAAAGACCCAAACTTTTCATTACCAGTGTGAGTTTGTTGGGCTGAGAGTCAGAAAAGACTTTGTACTTGTTGAAGGAACATGTTCTTATTTTTGTGAAAGATGGTCCTTGTTCAGTGACAACCCTGTTGCGAAACACACTGGAAACCTATTTTAAGGCCTTTTAAGTACATTTTTGTTTATATACTTATCTGTATTGTGCCATTATGATTTGATGATATAATGAAGACAGATGTACTCCAGAGCAACTTTTGTCTTCTGGGTAAGTTTTCATCTCTAAAGTAGGCTTTTTGTTTGTGTCAAATGAAGTGTGAATCGCTCTCTGTTTAGATACTAAAGGGGGGAAACATATGTCTGGATCTGCCTGCTTCCCATATTTATGTGGAGTGGTACCTCACACAGCTTTGCTACTACCTGAGTCAAAAGACAATTTCTGGCCTTCCAAAGTAACAATTTGGTAGCAAAGCTTTGGTCAGGCCTTGTGTATCTCAAGACTTTAGACAAGTCATTTACCCTTTACTCTCCCTTAGTTTACCTGTTAATATGTGAAGATTACGGTTGCTCATGAATTAGCTCTTTTTGTGGTTTTATTAATGTCTTTAAGTACAAACTATTTTTATCTCTCTGTAGTGTTCAGTTTTCTTGTGTATGAGTTAATTACACGCAGATGCATTTCTCCACCCGCACACATCTTGACATCAAATGTTAAAGCTTTTTTTTTTTGAGGTTTTGGAGAAAATGACACAGTATAATACGACACTGGGAACCCATAGCCATGAAAACTCAGACCTACTACTTAATTAACAGATGGGTTTGCAAACTGCAGTGAAAGTGAGATGCTGTTCTAGTTTGAGTTTCATAGTAGAGTCCTTAGCTTTTAATGGGAGCAGAAGTGGCAGTAGGTAGTCAGGTGAGAGTAGAAACCCAGCTTCCACGGGATCATTCAGCCCTCTCTGACAGGAGAACATCAGGAGCGCAGCACTGGCCGATGGTCATTCGTAAGCGCATCTGTTTACTAACCACAAAGCGGTCTTTTTAAGGAGAGAGGTACTGTCATGGATGCCAAAAATAACATGAAAGATGCTGATACGAAAGCTATGGTAGTGATGATGAGGTTCTTGAATTCTGTCTGTACATTGAGACATAGGAACTGTTAAGTACAGTTGAAAATAATGTGTTTTTTTTTATGCAGCAACTTTTTGGAGATGTAACAAGTAGTGAGGTTTCCAGTGAGATAGCTGATGAAGTGACAGCTATGGACAACTTGATTGCTGAACTTCAGGAACTGAGCAACCAACTGAGAAATCGTTGCTGAAATACAGACCAGACTTCATGGGAGGAAGACCATAATGATGTGTTTCATTTGCTGCAGATTCGCTCATGAAATGGGAACAACTGCAGCACAGCAACACTCTCAATGACCATTTTCCTGTACAATGCTGTTCTCATGGTCAGCTTTCTTCAGGTTTTAGTCTGCTTTTTCAGATTCTTATCTACTCTTGCCGTCTTAAAATTGTGTCCGCTTCCTTGGGCCCAGATTTTCTGGAATAAAGCTAATTGCGTTTATAAAGCGCTGGATTAGAGCACGTTTCGTGGGTGGCACCAGGCCACAGGTGCATTGCAAACAGGGGGAGCAGGAGGAGCCCCAGGGCTGGAGGGGAGGAGGCACTGCAGGAGGCCGGAGCTGTGCCCTGTCCTATCTGGGGCCCCGGCCAATCACAGCACATGCCCTCCCCAGCTGGCCAATCATACCTCTACTGGAGAGCTGCACAGCCAATCAGAGAGCACGTCACTGTGCCGCTGGCCAATCAGAGGAGCTGTGAGGCTGGTGGATGAGTGGCGGCAGTGGTGAGGCGGGCTGGGGCGGTGGGGTGGGCCGGCCCCTGCCTTGACCTGCTCCGCTCTGCTGGGGCGGCAGACGCCTGGGCTCTTCGCTGGCCCCTTTATAGTTTGGTCATTGCTACTTACGGGGGAGCACGAGTGGGGTCCCGAGAGTGAGAATTTAGTCTCTTGTGGTGTTGCTACTCTTGAAGTACAGTCAAAAGCGGCCAGATGTTTGCAGCGTTGGGGTCTGCTAGGAGTTATTGCTTACAACAGTAGTGTTTTACTCAAAAATATGCAACTTGGGTCCCACGTGCAGGAGAGCAGGACTTCATTTGGGGCTTTTACGGGCAGGGTGATTTATCTCCAATGAGGCAGCAGTAAAACTGCAAAATATTTATATTTGGCTAGCCTTGACTAGCTTGTTTTCATCTAGATTGCTTTGCTTTGTTTAATTAAGTATCTTCCTTGAATTTTTCCCTTGAAATAGATTTCTTTACTTTTCTTTTTTTTTTTTTTTTTCAGAAACCTATGCAAAGTAGTTTCCTCACACATGTTGATTTTGGCTCTTGCTCCCATATAAGAATGATGCAGTCTTCAAAAATGCTGTTATCTCTATTCTGTATATACACACTGTATGTGGTGTGGTCATTAAAACTATACAGTTACTATATGGCAAGGCTGCTGTCTCTGAAGAGAGAATCAGAAAGTGAAAGGAAACCAAAAAGAATTAGTTAACTGGGTTTGAAGCAAAGCTAACAGTGTATGTTTTAGTGTGAGAAGGGGAGACCATCTTGGCATCTTTAGCTATCCTTGTTAAGCTTTTTAGAATGGAAGATAAATTATTTCCTGGCAGTAGTTTAAGAAGAAGTTCCCACAAAAATTATTATCTTAACAAAGGATAAACCCGTTAGTGAAGGAGAGCTGGCTCCAAAACCCTTCTTCACTGAAATGGTCCAGAAAGGCAGGAGGCATTAAAGTTTATGCAGAGTGAATTTACTGGAAATGTTCCCACTTTGCTCATATATATATTTAGTGAGGCGTACATAACTGAAAAAAGCCACACCAATTTTCCTGTAATAATTAATGTAATAGAGGTGAGATGTCTGCAGGGGCTTTAAAAATATATATAAATATGCACAATTTAAGTGTCTAGAGATAATACACATGGTGTGGAGGGTGGAGAGGCCAGGAGCTGGATTGCCACTCAGGAGAGACTGGCTTTTCAGACTGTTTTTTCACCATCCTTGAAGATCTTAACTGCTACATCCATGAATCTGAACACCTGATGTAAATCTCTTGCCCTGTGCAGTTTTTGCTGTCTCTTTGTTTCAGTGATGTTGTCTTCTCCCTTGGATAGAGAGTTAGCCTATCTTGCTTCTTTGATGATGAGCTCATCACAGAGGCCTTTCAATATGTTACAGAAACAAACGCAACTTCAGTTTTGAATGATGTTAATTTTCTGTGCTCATGCCAACAGCGCTTGGTGCAGAGTAGCTCCAGGAGAGCAATGTCATGAAGACAATATTACTAAAAAAGCCTTGGCCATCTCTCAAATGCAAAAAAAGCTTGCCTGTATGGGAAGAAGGAATATTTCCCAGACTGAAAACTTTCCAGAACTGCATCACGGGGGGAGCATCTGTCTTCTAATGTGGGGATGCTTTTCACTCGACTGACTTCCCCGACAACTCAGGTATCCTTGTGGGCTTAGCAAAACTGTGTGGTCCTTTCCCAGTGTGGATGATGTCAAAGCCACAAACATCTGTGGTATTTTCAAGTGCAACATGTATATCTATATGTTAAAAGTGTTTGAAAAACTCATTTAGTGTAGCATTTACCTGATTAATATTTCTCTGGGATGGTTTACAGTTCATAATAGAATGTCAGGAACTTCCACTTGTCTTTTTTTGGCTTTAGTTGTGTTAGAGATTACCTGTTTCATCATCTATCTGCTATTAGAAATAATTTGGTGTGAAGTAGAGGTAAAACAGATGAGTCTTGAGTTTTGTAACTTTTGTCTACCCCGACTAGCTAAGCAATTGTCTCAGAGTTTTTAAAGCCAGTAAAGTTTGAAGGAAGAATGGTGCATGAAGGAGAATTTATTTTCATGGCCTAAGGGGGTTCGTTTGTACGTCTTTGACCTAATATGGTTCAACCTGGAATATACTTTCGACCGCTGGTGGTCAGAGCCCAGGAAGGATCTCCTGATTCATTCGGAGAGCTGTGTCCGCACGGAGGGAGCGTACGCAGCTGGGTGTGGTGCTAAAGGGTTTTCTTGGGTTGAGACAGAACAACATTCACTTCTACTCATGAGTAAGGGCTGATGAGGCCATGCTGAGTCAGGCAGGTCATCCCAAATAAATGCCAGTAAATGTTCTGTTGCATGTCACATCATCCTTGATGTTCTTTCTACTGCATTGACTGGTACACCCAGAAAGACAGGCAGCTTTCGTGCCATGTATAAGTCTTGAAATGAAATAAAGCTTGGAATAATTTCTCAGACCTAAAAATGGTAAATGGCTTATATGCAAATCCAGAGGATACATTTACAAGTTTAGATTAAGGATATGTGTATACATTGGTTAAAACTACACCTCTAATTATTTTCAAAATAAATAAGGCAGAAAAAAAAAAAGGGGTTAATTTTATCCTGCTTTGGAGTATTTCTGCCCAAGAAGGTATAAGGTCACAGTGAAATTATTTTAGCTTAGCTCTTCTGTTCAGTATTTCTGTCTCAACATCAGTGGATGTATGAATGACAGTACAGATGGACATAATGTATTTCAGGGGATAAGGGGAAGCCAAAAAAAAGACATGCTATTTTCAGTCTAATACAAAATTAAAATTATATACAAGTACTTCACTTTTCTTCATCTGTGCTCCTGCAGAGCTCTGTACTGAAGGTGCATATGAAATAGGGAAAAGACGACAGCTGATTTTTACAACTTAGGTTCTCTGAACTTAAATATAACCTAAACCTTGGTAGGAAAATCTTATTCTAAACAGGAGAAAAATTCCAACATATATGTATAAATATATAGACACATATATATACCTAAATATGTATAGAATGAGTGTGCCATAGGACTGAGTTGTTAATTCTGAAGTTATGAGAGATCTTGGAACAGGAAGGCAAAGCTCATGAACGTAGTGTGCAGTACAGAGCCTGGAGCGTATGTCAGCTTTCTCTCTGTGCGTTTCTAGCGTGCTTGCCACTAAAGAATCTAAGCACTGAAAACAGGATTGATAGTCCGCGTTTTCAAAGGTGACTAGTTATTTTAGGGATGCAGTTGAAGAAACCTTCGAAGAAGTTTGACCTTTAAAGTAAGAATGCTAAGCACACTCAGAAAATTAGAGCCTTTCCATCTGTCCTATGTTAGACATTGAAAATCCCTATTCGAGTTTGACAGAGCGTATTAGAAGGTCTTAATATCAGCCACAACATTGGTCATCTAAATTTGTTATTAACAGGCAGTAATTAGAGCATTTGTAAACGTTCACTGAAATTCATGGGGAAAAAATCTTTACTTGTAAATAAAAAAACTTAAAACATAGAGCTCTGACTGCCTTAACTTTTAACTTTCTGCTTTCTTTGTTTCAACTCCGTTTTCCATAGAGCTTTTTCTTGCTGGGCTGCTGCTTGGGCTTAACATGTATAAACAGATATATGTTAACATATGTTGTTTTCATTTTTTTCATTCTCATAAGACAGATTTCCGTTGATGTCTGCAATTACAAAGCTGTGGTTTCAGCCATTTATGAAGCATTTTTAATTCAAATGCTAATAGAATTGATTTTTTTATTAGGGCTGAATAATGAACAGAGCCAGATATTAGAAATGATTTTGTTTTATCATAAAATTTTGTTGGTTACCTTCAATTAATACAGACATGGATAGCAATTACTTATGAAGTGCTTTAATTTGTTTTTCTTAAGATATTTTATGCACAGAAATGCATCTAAAAGTATGCCTATCCCCTGTTGAGAACTGCCAGTAACACTGTTTTAGGGGGGAGAGGGTAGCTGAAAAAGGTGTAAGCAAATTAGGCAAGTCCATTCTGGACATTTCATATGATAGGGTTCAGAAATAAAGCTGGCAAATTTCACAACATAAATAGCAATAAAATATTTGCTATTATGCAAAAGCCACTGCAGTACTGCAATACAGTTTTTGCACCATTCAGAAGTACTTATAAATAGATAGGTTTCAATCGACAAGTAGCTTATTCAGGCATGTGCTCAAATATAGTAGCTGCATTCATTAGACAAACATTTCCACTAATCCCTGAGCTACACTAGAAGAGTAATCCCTTATAGGCTGAATGTTGTAGCAAAGTTTTTTCTTTTCTTGTCTTTCTCTCTCTTTTTTTTTTAATATTAGCACCCCCAAAGGCCAAGATCTAATCATTATTAGTAGCTGTATTTGATTTCCAGCAAGTAAGCTGAGAATTGATAACCCTGGCACTACGTTAAGATGGAATTCCTTACTGAACATGGAGACACCCTTACTCTTAGGAGCTGCTTATATGCTCTATCTGAAGACGATTTGTGTATACTGTTTAAACAAACGTCAGAAGTCCCACAGAGCAAGAGCAGTCTTGTTTTCTGTTTTTGTTGTCTTTATAGCATTCTTCCTTTCATGCACTTCTTTCAAACTTTTGATTTTGTTGTTAAGGCTAAAAAACTAAATCTGTGGATTCAGACTGGCTTCACTGAGCAGGAGAAGGATGCTGGGTACTGACAAGACAAGTATATGACTCACTGCCTTACCATACTAGGGTAAATAAAAGACCTATTACAAATTTAAACCGCTGACTAATATTGATCTTAACCTAACTTGGCTCCCTGCAAGAACAGGGTGGTTTGGGATGAAAAATCTGTGATAATTAACTGGGCTTTCTGTCTAGACCTGTTTTCCAAGTTGACCTAAGTATGAAAATCCTTTTTTCTGTTTCCAGTTTACTCTGACCTGAATGTTTTCTCTGAACACACCAAGAACCTCTTAATCACCAGTGATGTCACATATCCTTTCTTCTCCATTTTTTTTCCTTTTTATTTTAAACCCCCGTGACCTGTGAGTCAACTACAACAGCTCTTGGCCAAAAATCAATGCAACAGTTTAGGCAAACAAATACCAGCCAAGAGCCGTGCAACGGAAAACCGGGATTAACAGCATGAAAATCTTCAAAACTGCAAGTTAGCCCATTAATGACATCACTGCTGCAGTGAAGCAGCTAATTTTTGCGAGTCTTATTTAGAAGTTAACTCCTACAATTCAGCAGTTTTCCACTGTGTCATCCCTAAATGAACATTGTATTCTTTCCATCTTAAGCCTACTCATTCCATCCACCGTGGAGCCTCTCGTCCTGCTTGACTTCTGGGGTTCTGCAGACCCACAGGGGTTTCTGCTCGCTGCAGAACGCTTATTTCACAATTCCTGTGAAATAAGGTTCCTGTTCCCCTCTCCAGCTTCTCTC